GACTCTCATCAATAATCAGTCCATAACAAAAATGAAGGGTTAATTGTGAACCTGGTTACAATTAATTATAATAATTAGTTGATGTCAATGCCAATTTTATTTATATAATTTAAAATCACAAATCACATTTTGCCTCAGGGATTTTACAATCTGTACAGCATACAACATCCTCTGTTCTTGTTCTCGGTTTAGATAAGGAAAAACTTGCCCTTAAAACTTTAACTGTGTAAAAAATGGAAGAAACTTCAATAAGGGCAACAGAAGAGGGATCTCTCTCCCAGAATGGACAGGAAAGACGTACAAATAGACAAAAAAAAAAAAAATATATATATATATACAAATTATGACATGTAGATTGTGAAAAATGTATCCTTTGAGCAACTTCAGGTGTTGCAAATAGGTGAGCCACATGACCTCCTCTCCACTGTGGAGACCTGGAAAGAGGTCAGGCCACACCAACACAGAAGAGTCACGCACAACATTCACACATGGAGGGAGAGAGAGAAACGACAGAATGCAAACTAGGGAGAGAGGGAGACGCTTAATCTCCTGGGGGATGATGATCCAGATCCAAATATCTGCATGCGGCACAGAAAGCCAGACGAGGAAGAGATAGCTCATCACCTAGCTGATAACCTCATCTTCAGTAGGGATGCAATTTATCCAAACTACCACTAGTACTAGTTCTACTGATCCGGTAAATTAAATTCTGTAAACCCTGCCGTGTGGAACTGCTTATGGTTCTTCTTTCGTGTGTCATTTAGGGTGAGATCAGTTTGTAACACCAACATTACTTTTTCGCTTGTGCAGAATTTTATCATATTGTATACAACAGTGTTTCTGAAATAGCCATACATGTACCCCTACAGTACTTTCAGAGTACTGCAGGGATACGTGTTAACTTTTCTTTTTGTTAATTTAAAAAAAAATCAGTCATTCATGTCTGATCAGCATCTTGATATGCCACACCTGTGAGGTGGATGGATTATCTCGGCAAAGGAGAAGTGCTCACTAACACAGATTTTGACAGATTTATGAACAATATTTGAGAGAAATAGGCCTTTTGTGTACATTGAGAAAGTCTTACATCTTTGAGTTCAGCTCATGATGAATGGGGGCAAAAACAAAAGTGTTGCATTTATAATTTTGTTCGGTGTATATTAGGGCTGGGCGATATGGCTTAAAAATAAAATCTCTGATTGTTTCACACCAAACCCGATTTACGATTTTAATCGATTTTTTTGTAGACTGTTTTTAAGCGGGTGCTTGTGGGCTGCGGTCCTGTATATCTCGCAGAGAGCAACATTTCTCCCACTCGGCTGCATGCCTCTGCTTGAGGTGCTGGAATAAATTGGTCGTACTGCTACCTTTGGTTGCAACAGCTTTCAAACAAACTTTGCAGTGGGTCGTGGTTTGTTTGCTGTCGGACGCCACAAAACCAAACCAGTTCCAAACAACGACGACGTGGTGCCTTTTTTGAGGTAAGCTCATCCTGGCTTGCTGCCGTGTTGTGTTTATCTGTGGAGAGGCGGGGGGAGAGATCAGCGCACTCTGACCTACGGGAGCCCAAAGGGAGCACCGGTGTTGTGGAAGTTCAAGAGAAAAACGATTTTAACTAAAAATAAATCGTGTTTAACTACGAATTCGAATTAATCGATAAAATCGATTTATGGCCCAGCCCTAGTGGGTATATATATACTGAAAACAGCAGTGATCTGCTGTGATAAACAGTGTTGCACTCTGTCCCCAGGGCAGGTAGGACAAAAGGCTTCTTTCAGCATAATTACATGTTTCTGCATGTCTTCACCCACACATGTGCCTCTGTGCTATGTGTCACAAACTGACTTGCAACAATATAGCTCCTCAGTGTTTTTAAAGGATAGGTTCATATGAAGAATCTTAATATGATACTCATAATCCCCTGTACGTTGAAAGGGTTAAGAGCTGTAATCATTCCTCCTCTCCATACTAGCTTTGAGGGAACTTTTCCTGACTTGATTTCAAGTAACAGGGAAGAAAATCCACAGGCCTCATTCTGTTTAAAATGCTGTCTGAGTTGGTGATTATCTTCCAAAGTCATTGTAATGCAGAATTCCTTCTTTGTGTTACCCCACTAAGTGTTTCCTTGGTGAGCCACAGGGGAGGCACAATAACAGAAAGGATACATTTTGTATTAAAACTTTGTAAGATAGCACCCTGATTTAACAGCTACTCCTGAGGCCTCATGTCAGCTTAGTTTAAACTTACAGACAAGGACTGTGGATTTTGTCCCCCTTTAACATTGGAATAGCATAAGGACAGGCAGGGCAATTACAAACACCAATAACTTTCACTGTACATTGCATTGTAGTCTTCTGACAGACTTGAAGTATGCAAAGCAAACATTTATAGCAGAGGTTCCCATTTTTCTTCCTTAAGGGACCCATTTGCTATCATTTATTAAACTGTTGACCCTTGACTAAGTGACATACATCGATTAGCCTTAACATTCTGAACACCTGGGCACCCTGGAGGTCATAATGTTATGCAGCCCCATTTCAACAAACTGTGATGCACTGTGTGTTCTGACACCATTCTATCAGAACCAGCTTTAACTTTTTTAGCAGTTTGAGCTACAGTAGCTTGTCTGTTGGACCACACGGGCCAGCCTTCGCTCCCCACGTGCATCAATGAGCCTTGGCCACCCATGACCCTGTCTCCGGTTCCGCTTTTCCTTCCTTGGACCACTTTTGATAGGTACTGACCTCTGCACACCAGGAACACCCCACAAGAGCTGCAGTTTTGGAGATGCTATGACCAAGTTGTCTAGCCATCACAATTTGGCCCTTGTCAAAGTCACACAAATCCTCACGCTGCCCATTCTTGCTTCTAACTCATCAACTTTGAGGACACAATGTTCACTTGCTGCCTAATATATCCCACCCACTGACAGGAGCCATGATAACCAGGTAATCAGTGTTATTAATTTCACCGGTCAGTGCTCATAATGTTATGGCTGATTGGTGTATTTTATGGATATTTCATATTATATTCAAAACTGTACAATGAACCCTAATAATGAACTCATTAATTGCAAAAGGTTTTTGTAAAACAAGGGATTTCGATGAATTTTGAGAAGATTATTTCCTGTTTAAGGAATGTTTATACAATTCTCTGTCTGTACAGTTTTGTTTTTTTTATAATTTTGACAATCATACATACATACATACAAATTCAGTGTTTTGTTGTCCCTGACACTTTGCCATTGTTCTATTAGACAATTTACTAGGGCTGTTCCGGACTAAAGATTTTCCTAGTCAACTAGTAGTCATTAGTTAAAGTCACAAGTCATCTGATCGTCAAACATTTATGATATAAATTTTATAGTAAGATATTAAAAATTATTTCAATGTATATATTTTTAACGACTGTTAAATGCTTACAGAAAAAGTGGTAATGATTGACACAGAATGAGTCAGAACAACCAGCAAGAAGAGTGAACATTTAATTAAGTTAATTTATTTCAACACAGTCACAAGTCTTGTTGTTCAAAGCACAGAATAATTAACTTCCAACTTCACAAGAACAAATATTGGTTGACTTATTCATACGATGGATGATGTATAATATTAAGTTACTTACAAATTAACTTGCTACAAACTCACCTCTCTCACTTTACACCTTTCCTCTTCTCCGTCCTTTACCTGAACGCGCTGTGTCTAGTCCTCTGATTGTGTCGGAGGCTGCCCCCCCCCCACACCTTTGAAGAACTGGAATGAAACAATGAGTTGGTTTCTGGCCTGAACAGATTAGGCTCACTCTGAGGTCAGCAGGCCTGATACTTCAGTATGTATTCACACACACGGCTACACAGCTGCTGAAAGCTTCTATAATTACTCATCCTATCAGACATAAGCCTCTAGGGGCTATGCCATTGGCTCATCCAGTTGGTGATAACAGCTGTCTGACTGGCTGCTTGAATCTCAAACAGTCACATGCAGTTGTGACTGAGGTGAGAGCGTTAGGGGGGGAAGTCTTACATTCTAGAGCTGCTGTTTTGTACTGATGTAAACAGTGATGGCGGGGGAAATGTTCTACTCCAACAGCTGTCTCCGGGGTTGGAAAATAACTTTTTTGTCCACCTGCCACTGTGGCTGGTGGATTCCAAAATCAACCAACCACTTTCTTCTTTTATCCAACAGTCTGTAACTGCATGGAAAAATTCTAAAACAAAAACTACGCTATTCAAGCAATAGGCTATTAAGACTCCCCACACTTTATGTAAACAAGATTACTGAACAATATTTTTAAAAAGGGGAATAAGGTACTCTGGTCACTGCAGATGTACCATCCACAACCTGGAGAACATTCCCGGTTCCCACAGTATTGCAGAAAAAACCTTTTCAGAATTTTTGCATTGACTTGGTACCAAAGTATCGGTTCCTGTGACCTCTTTAATGTTAAGTACTAACTTGTCAGTTATCATAACCATTCATGCAAAGTTTACTATAGCACATCAAACTTTTTGTCTCATCCAGGCTGATTTCATTTAATTTTGTGATTAAATTAAAATTTGATGTAATGAAAAGTGACAGTGACAATGGCATTGACTTTCCGAAGGCCCCAGATGTAGCTACCTAGGCTGACAGCAAAACCCAAATCTTGCTTATCTACCTAGTGTTCTCTGTCTTACTGCTCCAGCTGCCAAACCTCAACTAATTGGACTTTATTTAGGATGTTGAGGAGGAGGATGTGGGCCGGTGCTTAATCAGTAGCATCTCTCTCGCTTATGTTTTTTTTCTTACAATTGACTGCTCAAGCGGTTCATAGAGCGACTGTCCCACCTATTATTCTGGTTAAACACCCATGCCGTGCACACGATGGCCAGTCCGACTATGACCACTGTGATGTAACACTACACTGATTTTCTGTGTCTCCTACAATGTATGAGTTAACACTGTGCTGTGTGAGCTGTTCATGCCCAGTGGGACCTAACGCAGTGTGGGTTTTGTGGTTTGTAGATATGACACCGGTAAAGACGGCTTCATCGACCTGATGGAGCTTAAGCTGATGATGGAGAAGCTGGGAGCTCCACAGACCCACCTGGGCCTCAAGAACATGATCAAGGAGGTGGATGAAGACTTTGATGGCAAACTGAGCTTCAGAGAGGTGAGAGTGTGACTTCAGTGGGGATAGGCATGTCATCTTTCTGTACTATGGCTTTTAGTGATGCTGCTACATGATTTGGCAACAGGGTTGTCTCCTGAAATATGATTGACCACCCCATGTACCACCCCAATATTTTTTATTCTTCCACTCTGCACTGTCTTTCAGAGGCTCAGTTTTATAGCTAGAGTGAAGATACTGGTATCATTGGAACCATATCATGCTATCATGTTGAAAGGGGCTAAATAACTCTCCAAATTTAGTTTAGTAATGGAAAAACTGGCATGGCCATTTTCAAACGGATCCCTTTACCTCTTAACACATCTGAATGAAAATTTGTTCTACGGTACCCATGAGTCTGCCTTTTGCAGACTGCATGCATGTGGTATAAATGTGTTCTGCATACTGTGGTTCATAAGCATTGTTGGAATTGCATAAATTGGGAATGACTAGAAAGCTGAGACACATCCACCCCTGCATCAGTGCTGCACTTATGTCATCCCCTCCAAAACAGTCTGGACGTGCCCCTGTATGTCCATCATTATCCTCCGCTTTTAATACGTGGGCATAAAAACACAGTCACTCACATTATATACCCAGAAAGGCAACCCCACTAAACCCTGTGTGTGGGAAACACTGTCATTTATGATCAATGTGGCTCATTTTTAGATTTTTATGCAACAAATAATGTTCAAATGTTAATGTTTGCAGCTGTGTGTAATGAATACTCCTAAATTCCAGTATAAAAAAAGAGACATAAATGGTATCTACTGTGTGTGTGTGTGTGTGTGTGTGTGTGTGTGTGTGTGTGTGTGTGTGTTATAAGTCAACTACAAATGGCTGTAATACCTAGGCATGTCACAATAACAAAAATGTAGTAGTCCATAACAATACCAGTGACCACTTTCACGATTTTCGATACCAATTTGATACCACCATAAAAAACAATAACAATAAATCCCCGGTATTTCAACTTACACTGCTTTTATTAAAAATATTTTAACTTTACAAACAACAACATTATTTCTCTATTTCTAATAGATGCTTTCTTAATTACTTAATTCACTACTTCACTCACAAAGTGAGTACCCTAGTGACACCGGCACCAGCTGATGTGTTCATTGCTTTTCACTCTTGCTTTACAGAGAGCATCTGTCTGTGTTTCTCTGCAGAGAATGTTTGACAGCCACTAGACTGTACAGGAGGTTCCCCCTTCAGGTTCGGAAGAATTTAATCCATTTTCAGAACTTCGGGATCGACTTGGTACCAACGTATCGGTTCTCGTGACATCTTTAGTACCACCTGTAGTAGATGTTATGATCCCCTTTTAAGCAATCATACTGGAAATTATATTTGTAGATATACTGAAGATATCACACTAGATCTTTTTGACAAATAATGGTTGTATGTAAGTGAGAGGGTTTGAAAAATATACATATTGGAAAAACTAGATCCCAGCTTTCTACACCCTAAAAGTTCAAATGACAACCTGTAATAAAATGTTCAGTAGAGAGCTGGGCAAATACCCACTCTATGTCTTATCAGTTATTGACTTCATGTGATATTTATTTATAATTTAAACAAGCCCCGAAAGTGAAAAAAAGAAATCTCATGAAAACAAATATTAATTTCTCTTTTAATCTGTGAAAACAGGTGAAAGTCGACTGCATATGTAACGTCAATTTTACTGTAATGTCATTCAACATAACAGGGACACCTAAACCCTGAGTGGGATGTTTCACAAATGAATATTTTGTTTAAACCCTAATAGTGGGACATTTTGACACTTGCCAAGGGAAAGCCTATTAAATACACACTACATACATCCATATTAAAACAAAATATTGTTAAGGAACTACCAGGTGCTGCATATACATGCACAGCTGTTGCCATGGAATGTAGTAGTTTGTAGGCTTTAAAAGAGTCCAAGGCTGGATTACCAGCTGGACAAAGTGGGACACTGCAACCCTTACAGCACAATATAAACTGAATTGGTGAATACCTTTAATATTTCAGTTGATATTATCCAACTAAATTTGCATATAATCATATAATTACAAACTAACTTGGGTTTTTGGTTTGTCTTTGTTGATTGCTTTGTTCACTCTGTTTTTCAGCTTTCATTCCAGTTTAGAAGAAGAAATGAGAAATGTAACCTTCTTAACTTAGTGTGTTTGAACAATCTTCCTGCAGTTCCTGCTGATCTTCCGGAGGGCAGCGGCTGGAGAGTTGCAGGAGGAGAGTGGTTTGCTGGCTCTTGCCAGGTTGTCTGAGATCAACGTCTCCACTGAGGGAGTGATGGGGGCCAAAGACTTCTTTGAAGCCAAGGTACTCTATTTTTCTACTGATGTCGTGCGGCTTATGTACGTCAACTCTCATTTACAAAGTTTACTGATGTACATTTTCACGTAGCTATAGGCTAACCACTAACTGCTGCTAGCGGACTGGGAGCTCAAAACACCTGTGGTCCAAAGCTCCCATACTAGAGATGGGACAATAAACACTAACACCAACACTCATTTAGGGCAGAGTCAGCTAATAGGACGGCAAAGTTAGCTGCACTGTTTACTAGTCATTGACCCATTAGGATGAATTAAAGGGCCTCAATTATATATGGCTGCTACTCCACCTCCTCGGCCGGCGTCTCGAGGACTGTGTATAATAATATGACTGGTAGGGGGAGGTGTAGCAGTAGTGTGCACTGTCAAAAGATGCCAGATGAAGTTAAAGGCATTCACCTACAATTCTGGATCAGTCAAACAAGCAGAGTAAGGCCCAGTCTTAGAAGCCATGCAGGGCTATACTTGGGATTTAAAGATGATTTGTGTTGATGGGAAGGAACACTGTCATTTTGTGTGTCACCAGATGCAGGCTGCGTCTCAGGGCAGCAAGTTCGAGGCTGAGATTCGAGAGGAAAAAGAAGAACGCAAGAGACAGGAAGTGGAGAAAAAACAGAGGCAAGCCGCCTTCAAACAGCTGCAGTCCACCTTCTGCTCATGACCGGCCATGGGAGGCAGATAACAGTCCTTCATGCTCCACTTGTATTTTAACTAATACCATCTCTCAGTATTTGGTACTTTTTAACTAAAATAGAAAGAATAGCCACTAAAATTCTTGAAAGTTGATAACACGTCACAGGCATTATTTATTCATACCAGGCTTCCTGCAACTGTTATTCAGAAAACAATAAGGCAAAAACACCACTTCTCAAATTGCTGGAAATATCATATTTATTGTGCATTTCTGTGGATGGTTTTCTTTGTATTCGTCTGTACAAGAACTGGAAGTTTTCACCTTAAGAGAATGTTAACTTGTTTAGGCTAAGTGAAGCTGTTTTCAGTATGTTTAAGCGTTTTTAATTACACATTACACTTTAGTCATGGTTTGTGTCATATGTTTCATTCTCACCTTGTTAACACTGTTACAATGAGTAATTAAATAACTATCAGTATAGTATAATAATAGGAAGTATCAACATCATATAGCGTGGCCTTATGCAACTTTGGCCACTGATCTTGATTCTGATCTGACATTGATCAGGATGTGGTTAGCCTAGCCTAGCATCTAAAGATCACTAAAATGTTGTATCTTGTTTGTTTTATCCGTACATAAACATGGTTTTTAAAACAACAATGAAATACACATTTCTATTATAAATGATCAAGATTGGATTGGCAGGAAATTGGCCATAACTCATTAACCGTTTGTCCAATCAGCCAAAGAGGCTGATGGTGGCACACAGAAATAAACTGGCTGACATGACTTTGCCCGGCATTGTGAAACTATAAATTTGGCCCTGTGCTGCTTCCTTCTGTTGAGTACCGAAAGGTTTGAAACCGCTTAATGCCACCTGTGTCTATATTCATATGTAAACTAATGGACAGAAAAAACAGAACAGACATGATACTGGTATCAATCTCACTCTCAGAAAAAAAGTTTATCAATGTATTTCCCTAAATGTTAAACCTAGCAAGAGCAGACTGCTTCCATTAAAGCATGCTTACCTTTTACACCAGGGTTCGTCAACCTTGGCTTGTGATTCTATTTTTAGGATCTAAATTCTCATGACCCCAGCATTTAGACAGTGGATAAGTTTTCATGTGAGTTTTAGTATGGTGTAGTTTAATGAGCATGCAATGCATGCAATGCAAATGTATAATATAAGCTAGGGATTCTAATAGATTTTACATCAATTTAGCTTATGTTCCATGTGAAATAGAACAATATTAGAAATCTCCTGGGACCGTTTATGCATAGCAAGTGAGTGGGGACTTGCAAGGGACAACAGAAAAAACAGTATCCCACAAAGCAATGCTTGATATCAACTTTGATTAGACCTTCCTTCCTTAGTAAATGCCTGGATCGTTAAATCTCCACAGCCCCAGTTTGTAACACATGCTGACAAAGCCCCCTCCAGACCCTCAGATGTTGTACAACTGTTTTCACATGCTAATAGGATAGTACCAAACTAATGTTGCTGTGTAAAATCAATGGAGTGCCCCATTAATGTGCTCACTCAGTCATTCATATGCATACTGTGTGCTTAATCTGCCCACTTTCCACTCCAGTTCTCATCTGTGACTCAGAACTTTTACCATTTGAGCTTATGTAAGCATTATGTATCGCTTTAAAGTTGACATTTTAATACTGAAAGCATCAGAACCACTGACCACTGTCTACATATAGTGATGTGTATATATATATATATATATATATATATATATATATAATGAAGCGTTTTGCCTGAATTTGGACCATTCCGATTATCTCAGTCTGTTACAATGTACTGATCACCTGTACAGGCTTTATTCTTTCCTTGAAAAGGGATTCAGCTGTGGATTACTATCAGTCACAGCATGCCACAAACTAAGACATGTAGCAATTCCCTGAAGGAGCAGGTCTTAGTGAGAGAACAACACAGACTGAGACCAGAACCAACTACAAAATGCAGTTAGTTTCTCCCTAAGGTGTCAGTCCAGCTGCCCACTCAATACATCTCCAAGTGAGGAAGATAAGAGACATGCATATTTCTTTATGATGTAGTCTCAGGAATCTCTGATATCTGTTCAACTTCTTTTTACAATAATGAAAAGCACAGGGTGGGGTGTGCTACAGACTCTACGTTGAACCACCCCTGCCACTGAGCCATATAGCTCAGTATATAGAGTGCAGCAGACTATTTTTGTAGTCTAACCCAGAAGTTGGCATTGCCCTGGTTCCTTCAACAAAAAGTCAATAGGATTTTTCCATCGGATTTTGGATTATTGCAAAAAATAAACTGTGTTGCAAAGTTTATGATACTTACATGTTTTGATCAGCAACATAATCTCTGCAAATGAACACCACTTTTATGAGTTTTGAAGTGTAGATGCAGTCGCCAAAAGTAAACAGCTAACGCTAAGGATATAAACAAACTACTCCACAACAAACTACGGTCGCATGACTACAGTGTCACCACCACTAACATTCCAACTTGTAATTAAATCTTGTAATTTAAATGTACAAGTTGTAAAATTTGAGTTAGAATAGTTTGCAAGAACGCAAGTATAAACATAAGGCTGTAAGGGCAGACTAGTGATAAGTCTGTTTGTCTGAAATGTCACCAACAACCTCTGTAGTCTCATTTAGCCATTTGTTAGCAACCACCTTTTTTAAGAGACAAAAGCTTCAAAATTCACAGGTGGAGTATTTTATGTCATGGAAAAAAACTATATGAAAATCTTTTAAGCTTGTATTAACCACAGACCTTATTTTAGGCCATTCAAAAACCCCATTGACTGTGAGGAGAGGGAACTAGAGGGGCTAAAATGTTGATGCTAATGCTAAGGTTCTGGGTTTTTGGCATGATTCTTGCAGCATTCTATTGTCTGCCAAGTCTAATTTGACTATGTGTGGTTTGTACAAAGACAGCAAGAGCTCAGCATGCACTAGGTTTTATATCGGTAGCTTTGCTATGCAGCTATGTGTTTAACATTAAGAAAGAAAGAGGACTGTAACAGCTAGTCTGGCTCTAAAAACAATACACCTACCAACAACTCTAAAACTCACTCAAAAACCCCACAAAACACATTTTGTGGGGTTAGGGGAGTTATGTACAGAAACTGTGGGGTTCAGTGACTGTACACAGACAGAGACAGGGTCTTATTGTCACAGTGAGTTGTACCATAGTGCCTGTGAGATCAAATCCAAAACCTGTTAGCACAGACTGACCAACAGGGACACTGGGCAGATGGGTAAATAATTGTTAATAAAAAAAATGTCCAGCTTGTAACCGCCCCTAAAACAAAAAATCGTAGTCCTACAGACGCGTTGGCAGGTATATCCTTGAAATTCAGACTGAGCCAGGCCAGCTGTTCCCCCTTGCTTCCAGTCTGTATGCTAAGCTAGACTAATCATGTCCTGACTCCAGCTCTATATTAAGAAAGTGTTTTTTTCCCAAGATTTTGAACTATTTGTTTAAAATTAATTTTAAAACATCCTTTCAAATAGCAGTGGATCACAGACAGTCAGCAGTAGCTCTGGTTGAGCCCGAAGTAGAGGATGATTTACTGAGAATGTGAGAAAGCCTATACATCACTCTGGGTGCTGTTTTTTTTTCCTTTTCTTGAAATTGGTGTGCAATGTTACTACATTTTAGAAGGACAGTGCCACAATATGGCAAACCCAAAAATGTTTTTGAAGATGGCATATCCATAGGGTTGTAGTGGTATAACGCTACTATGGTATACCGTATTATGAAAATTGATGGTTATCATACAGTGTACATTTGCTTATCTACGGTATTGAATTCTACCGTATTAGTGTTATTAAAAAAATTATAATAATGCATAAAATCTCCTAATTCCCTTAAGGGTTACTGTAACTGATATAATTGTGTAATGCTGTTGTGAACAGTGATATTTTCTGAGACGGTTATCATATTGTAAAAATCTCATACCACTGCAACCCTAGTCCACAACCTGCTCTATCCTATACCTGATTGCTGCCTATGTCAGAGTTTGTCAGCCTAAGGGACAGGGATCCATTGGGTTGATATACAGAGGTACTGTATTGATAATAAAGAAGTATAGTAAGAAAAGAAAGGAAATAATATACAGCACAATGAAATAAAGTCAAGAGGGTAAAAAGTCTGAGAAATCCTGACCGCAACAGTGTTTATTGTTAAGTGCAGTTCATGTATCTGGCCCTTTATTTACTCTGTAGTAGCGTATTTAAGTTGTAGCATGTTCGAGCTGTCATATAACAAAACAACCTTCTTTGGTATTTGTTGTGGAAACTGACAATGTATTTTTACATAAATTAAATAATATATATTGTTATTTGTTTTAGCAGAGACCAATAAGTTGCCAAATATAAAATAGGTCGTGAAATATATTTTTGGTCACTTGTAAAGATATTGTGTTGTAATACTCCCTGTCAGAATGAAAAAGTTTGACTTGATTGCAATAAAGGATAAATAACACTGATAATAAAACATATGTAATCCATTTTATTGCTCATGAAGAAGGCTTGGTAGCATTATTGTAAAATCATACACTATTCACACTCCCTAATATACATTCTCTAAACAGCTTATCCTGGTCAGGGTCACTGGGGGTTGAAGCCTATCCCAGCATGCATTGGGCAAGAGTCAGACTACTAAATGGGTTACACATACAGAATGACACACTTACAGTACAGGCCCTTAGAGTCTCCAATTCACCTCAGCTGCATGGCGGAACATTTAAACCCAGGAGCTTCTTGCTGTATAGATAAATATACATAAAAAGTACAGATAAAGTGAGTAAACATTTGAGATCACCCCAAAATTTAGGTTATTAGATATTCAGGGGGCCTCTGGTAATAATTGAGGTCCAAATAGACCTTTTGTTTGCGTAAACAGTGATGATGTACTTTGTGGGTGGACCCTAACTGGTTGCAGAAAGTTCCGCAGTTGCCAGCAGTGTTAACGGCAGTGCATAGAGACATGGCATACACAAAACTGAACACTAAAAGAAATTAGAATCATATTTCACTCTTGTCTAGTAGAAAGCAATTAAATTTAAATTGTTCTTGACTCTGATTGGTTGTTTTCATCCTGGCCTGGTGTATTCTTCCAGATACCATTAGAACCACTAGGAGGAGACAGAGGAACTTGTTTTTCACAGATTATTTGTCTCATGTACTACTGTCAGGGTACAATTAAAGTTTCAGCAAATAGTACACATCTTTTAATAAAACTAACTTTTTGTTAATTGATTTTAGATTTTATGTGTGTTTGGCAGGTTGTCAGTCAACAGCAGAATACTATGACATTTTTCTATTTTAAAGGTTTAGTTTCATAACCAATTAAAAACTAATTTAAAGATAATTCTAATCAAAGCACAGATATGTATTGCAGTAGGCAGTGGTTCTCAACATTTTTCCTTAAGAGACCCGTTTTCTATCACTGAGTAAACCCCACAACCCTGGACAGACTGTATGGACGTGACAGATTTTATGGATATTTTATATTAAATTCAATAACAGTAGAGAACAACTGAATAGGCTTCTTTTTTTGACAAATTCTGAGTGTTTTCCCTGATGTATTTAAATCTTAAATCTAAACTTAAAATAACGTTAATAACAATGTTTTCTTACACTCCTTAAAATCTAGAAGGCCTTCCAACCTTCCTTTTAGCAGCCATTTTGACATAAAATAGTAGGGTAGACACAGGTGTTACCAGTGATACTAATTAAGGTTATTTTCCATTTAGTGTAGTAGAGCCTTTTCAGTGAGCCAACATGCATACAGCAGTACCCTGACTCTGTCTGACCTGAATGGAACAGAACCTTCATTAGTATCATTGGTAACATCTGTGTTTACCCTGCTATTTCATATCAAAATGGCTGCTGTGAGGAAGCTCTATGGTAACTGTGATGTAGGCACTCAAGCTAAATGAAGTAATGTTCCTGTCACCTCCAAGCTTGTTTAGAAAATATTTATTTCATGTAATGTACACTGTACAAAGGCACTAAAGCATGTGAGATACATTGAGATCTCATCCTTCACAATCATATTTTGTGGAACATTTCCTCTCTTATGTCTGAAGTTGCAACATGATTTTTCTAAACCATATAGATAACACACCGATGCTCTTCATATCGACAGCCTTTAAAGGGAAAATACTCCAAACACAAACACATGTATATTTTCTACAACATTTATACTTTCTAACCTCCTAACTTTATTTGCTGAATCTAGAGACATTTATTATTGTACAAATTGAACATAATACATTAATTTCTGCTTTTAGTAATGATTTAGGCAATTCTTTTTTCAAAATAAAAAGATTAATCTACCATTAAATCAGCAGTCAGTATCATTCTATCAGTCACTACTGAGCCATATATCATTTTATGCAGGTCAGTCTAATGTTAGATAGCTCACTTTAAGACATGGATGTCTTTGTTCCAAAAGACTTTCACTGAATAACAGTAGCCGCTTAATATTGACAGTGGAATTACAACCATCTGGTGGTTTGTTGTGATTGTCAGCTCATGTTGATTGTCTACAGTGTAATCCTTCAGTTCTGTTGCTGGTCCACAAACATCAGTAAAAGAAGTCATTGATCAGCAATAGGAATGGCCTTTTATAGAGATGACAGACGAGACTGCATTCTTTTGTCACTGCATTCTGTCCCGTCCTTATTGCTCTTTTAACACATCCGATATACCTTCCAGACCTACTAATTCTATATTCAGTTTTACAGGGCTGGCACTAAGACTTTCCCACTTAAAATGCATTCTGTGCTAAAAATAATTCTCTTCACCTCAGTATCATCAAACAGTAAAATCCACTGGTGTAATGCATTATTGAACTACAGGAATTTACTAACAAATGCCATGAAACAATTTTTCTTAATGTTTGTCTGTTGTCTGTTGCTTGGTCCATCTCTTTGGTCCAGACTGAAATATCTCTACTATTAGATGGTTTATAATGAACATTTGTACAGACATTCATGTTCTCCTCAGGATGTATCACACATACTTTTGTGGTCCATTCATGAGAACAACATTTCACTTTGTCCAATACTTTGGTTTATGACCTGCAACAGTAATGACATTCCATCAGCCTCAGCTGTACTTTGTGTTTAGTGCTAATTAGCAAATATTAGCATGCTAACACACCAAGCTAAAATGATGCAGCCATGTCCCCTATCTATTAACATAAAAGGGAATGTTGTTAATTGGAACTACAGTTGGTAACAAAATTGTTCTTTGTCATATTTGCTTTACTACATCCTGACAGTAGTAGAAAAAAATCTGGTTATTCTTGCCAGGTCGTCTCCAAAAGTATTTGTTAACCTAGAGACTCAACAATGAACTGTCTTTCTTGGCTCTGATTTTTTTTTTTTTGTTCAGGCATGGTGGATTCTTACCAATGTAATAAGGAGCATGTACTACTGTCGCGGAAGTTTCAACAAATATGACAAAACGTTATTTCATAAAAAAAATACCTACTGTTGCTACTGAAGATATCAGTAAAATGTTGACTGGTCGCTAAAATAGGCAATCTTGCAATACTATCCATTTATAGTGACAACACCATTGTTATGTTAAGGCAGTTGTTACCAACCTTTTCCTTTAAGGGACCCGTCTTCCATCATTTAGTAAACTGACAACGGCTCTTTTATTTACCCCTTCCCTCTATCTCTGTTACAACATCAGTTCCGTCTTATAGCTAATTTTTTCACCTCTCAAGCCAGATGCAGACACAATGTGATGACACTGCGTATGACAATGACAAGAGTCCGAGAGAGCTCAACTTATAAGTCCAGACAGTGGACATTTGGATTCAACCATTGTCATTGAGAGCATGCTTACATTAACATTTAACTCAAAACATCATTGTGCAGATGGGGGCATGAGCACAGCTGCAGACTCAGTGTTGTCTCTTGTATTTCAGACAGACAGTGGGTTTGACATGCATTACCAACAACACCATGACTTTGACTACAATGAGAGGAGACATGATGACTATGTGTGTATAATATGATTGTCACAGTGAAGTGACATGAACTGAAAGCAGTGACTGTCTGGAAGGAAGAAAAACACATTCAACAATGTAAAACACTATGGGATTGTGTATGGTGTCATTGTCCTTTAAATGTTTCCAAAGTGGGAGTGGTCAAGGCGGTTTACTGATCCATCCATCCACTGTAATATGCTTCTTATGGAAAATGGAAACGTTTATCAGTACCACTACTGTATCTGCCTGGTGCCAAGCCTGTAATTACCATTCAGCATTACTCATGTCATAACTGGTTCTACCCCTTTAGTAGTCTTCCACACTACCTGTTAACCTACAGACATATATTTATTAAGTTTGAATGTAATACAATAATATTTGTGGTTCGGAGTTTGAAATTAATACACAATACATAATCCAAATCTTAACTTGTATGTGAAGCTTAGAAAATTAATTTGTTTGTGAAACTGAACTGATTGAACTGAATTTCAATAAATTAAGGTACACATTTGGTAGTGGGCGGCTGGGGCTCAGAGACAGAGCAGGTCGTCCTCTAATCGGAAGGTTGTTGGTTTGATCCCAGGCTACTGCCTTCACATGTTGAAGTATCCTTGAGCAAGATACTGAACCCCGAATTGCTGTGCATTCGTGTGTGAATGTGTATGAATGTGTTAGTTTCTGTTCGATGGACTTTGCCATCACTGAGTGAATGTGTGAAAGGGTGAATGTGGCATGTAGTGTAAAAGCGCTTTGAGTGGTCGGAAGACTAGAAAGGTGCTATACAAGTACAGGTCCATTTACCATTTACCATTACATTTCAAGTTCAAACTGTGATAGAAGAATTCATTTCAGCTTTACCCACAAAGTTTAAATTAAAGTGACCAAAATACGTATGAAAAATGCCCCTATCTAGATCCAGTGTTTGATTTGTCCATTCTGGGCTACTGTAGAAATTCATTCTGAAGCAACAAAAACACAACGATTCTAAAATGAGAATATTCCGTTGATAATACACTAATGAAAACACACCTATAAATATTATATGCCATTTCTGTCAGCAGATGCTCCTAAATGTTACACACTGGACCTTTAAAGCTACAATTTATCATTATTTTGGCCACTTTGGGACACACAACTGTCACATTATCATCTTACAAATCTGAGCAACTTTGTCATTAATGTGGAGTTGTCCACCTGATGAATGTAAGTTCAACATTTACACTCTTTTACCTTTGTGGTCTCCACTGTGTTCACCAGCTTGTCTGTGTGTCTTTCTGCTGAGGGCTTTAGAGCTTTTTATTCAGTGTTTATGATAAAGGTTTGATTACAGGAACTGAATTTAAAATGGATTGTGCCACCAAAGAATTAACTAAATATTTTTAAATATAGCTTCATCATAATTAGGGATGCACTGATACCCATACTGGTATCAGGTATCGGGCCGATACTAGTCTAATACACTGATCAGAGGGTAAAAACGTAGGATTTCGCCGTCTTCTGAGATTCCCAGCTGCCCCTACATCACAGACGTTATGGTGCCAAAACTTTTTGACAAGGTAAAAAAACACGTGCGCAACCTGGTGAATGAGGTTTCAGCCTTAAGTTTCACTACAGACATTTGGACAAGCAATGTGTGCCCGATGTCACTGCTCAGTTTAACGGCGCAGTGGATTGATGAGGAGTTTGTTTGTCATCAAGTCACACTACATGCAAAGTCGTTCCGCGGCTCACACACCAGCCAAACCATCGCAGGTGCTTTCGATAGCATGCTCCAGACCTGGTACATACCGAAGACGTCCGTCCACGTAGTGCTCCGAGACAACGCAAGAAATATGATTAAGGCCATGAGTGATGCTGAGCTGCCCAGCCTACCTTCTACTGCTCACACTCTCCAGCTGGTGGTTCACGAGGGCCTTCTGTCACAGAGGAGTGTTGCTGATGCAGTGGCAGTCGTGACTGTGACTGTGTGTGACTGTAACTGTGTGACTGTGTGTGACTGTGTGTGACTGTAACTGTGTGACTCTGTGTACCTGTGACTGTGTGTGACTGTGTGTTACTGTAACTGTGTGACTGTGACTGTGTCTGACTGTAACTGTGTGACTGTGTGTGACTGTGTGTGACTGTAACTGTGTGACTCTGTGTACCTGTGACTGTGTGTGACTGTGTGTTACTGTAACTGTGTGACTGTGACTGTGTGACTGTAACTGTGTGACTGTGTGTGACTGTGTGTGACTGTAACTGTGTGACTCTGTGTACCTGTGACTGTGTGTGACTGTGTGTTACTGTAACTGTGTGACTGTGACTGTGTGTGACTGTAACTGTGTGACTGTAACTGTGTGACTGTGTGTGACTGTGTGAGACTGTTACTGTGTGACTGTGTGTGACTGTAACTGTGTGTGACTGTAACTGTGTGTGACTGTAACTGTGTGACTGTGTGTGACTGCGTTAAAATGGCAAGAACGCCTATTGTCAGCTACATTTTTTCTTTTTCTGTTTTAGGTATAAAAATCGTTTTTTCTCCAGCACCACCACTGCTGCAAATGCCAAAGAGATGCTGAAACTTGAGCTGCTAAGGTTGCCTGGAGAAGCGGACAAGCAGGAGGATGATGACCTGAATGAACCACCTTCAAGAAAACCACGCAGTGACCAGCCCACTAGTAGTCTAGACAGCATATTTGATGAAATTGCATCAGCATCAGCATCAGCATCAGTGGGCAGAGCTGCAGTAGGTTCTAGTGTACAGTTAGAGATATATCTTGGAGAGGCTGCAATTTCACGAGAAGGCAATCCACTACAATACTGGATGGTTAATAAAGTGCGGTTAACGACTCTGGCTAAACTGGCGGGCAGATACCTTTCAGCAACTTGCACTAGTGTTGACAGTGAAAGGCTGTTCAGCTCAGTGTCACACATTGTGAGTGAAAGCAGAAACAGGCTCACAGCTGATCATGCAGAGATGATTCTTTTCATCAAAAAGAACCTGCCTCTCACTTTCCCAAAAAAAGCTTAGTTCAGAGATCACACCATTGCATGCTGACTGAAGTTTGATATTTTGTTTGATTCAAATGTGGACACTCTGCAATAGGTTCATTAATGTTTCGTCAATCTGAAAGCTGGAGACAGTGCCAAATAGTTAATTGATATTTTGTTTGATTAAAATGTGGAAACTCTGCAATAATTTCACAGAAAATGTTTATTTTTCACTTGAAATTTTAGTTTTATAGTCATTTTTATTAATATTTTACTTATATCTAATTCATCATCATTTGTTGTAACAAGCAGAGAAGAAAATAAAACCTGTCTTCCAATTCATTGCATTTTTTTTGTGGTAGAAGTATCGGCATCGGTACTCTGTATCGACAAGTACTCAGATCCAAGTATTGGTATCGTATCGGTTTGAAAAAAAGTGGTATCGGTGCATCCCTAATCATAATCGATCCAGTTATAAAACCTTACACTATAGTAAGAAAAGTATAATTAATTTTGATTCAATTTAAAAGAAAACAGGGGTTCTTATTTTGGTAACTTTGTGCATCTGTTCTATCAGGTATGTCTGATAACATTGCACTCAGCAAGCTGAGATCCCAGAATGCAGGGACATTGCAGATGACAAACAAACTAGCCAAATTAGCTGAGTGAGAACAAGCATAATCTGGCTAATAATCCCTCATTGGTGCAAACAACTACAGTAAGTAAAGTAGGTCAAAGTCGAAGCAGAAAGTGGGTCTGTACTGTGACAGTTGATGACAACAGACAGCAATTTTTACCATTCAAATACGATGTTTTTTGCCCCACTGGACATATTTTTAGAGATGTAGCCATGTTGTGAGATGTCAGCTATTAACTTGCTGAGTTATGTTATCATAATGTTATCACAACTGATAGAACCAATGGCCAGAGCGACAAAAATAATACCCAACTTGTAAATAACAGCATTTGTTCCCACACAATTCCCAGAAGTGGTGCCCCCTGCTGGCCAGGCATTGCAACCAACTGCATATATTGATGGGTGGGAAGCCAGTGGGGGATCATACCCTGGTTGTGACTCAAAGTGATTGGATGGAGGAGCTGCAGCACCCATGTCTGACATACATTTTAATTTCAAATGATTTGATTTGGTAATGAAATCTGAATTTAGGATTAAACAAGTACCTCCTCACAAAAATATCAGCTCCATTGTTAACTTCCCCGCTTATCCCTCTGAAGCTCCCGCTGTCCCTATGAGACCTCCCCTTCAGCCTCCTTACTCCATCCTGTCACTGCCATCACCGTTGATCTGCACCACACAGTCCTTGTTCAAAGGCTCCTTTGAGTGGGCAGTGTCAAAGTGCTGGGTGTTCACCATGTATCTCCCCCGAGCATCCAGCCCCAAGGCGGGGACAAAGCGACGGTCAAACTGGATTTCTTGACGCAGGTAGGAGGTCCTCTTCTGGCAGGAGTCGCCAGTTCCCTCCTGCAAAGCTGACAGGAAGACCACCAACTCAAAGTGATTGGACATGCCCTCACACAGGGCAGGGTAGAGGGGGCTGCTGCGGTCCAGGGGATGGTAAAAGGTGAGTGGGAAAATGAAGAAGGGACAGGGCTGTTGGCCTAGATGATCCAAGTGGAAGTCCAGAGAGGTCTGGTGCAGGGCCTGACCTTCATGCTCCTCATAGAGCACAGCACTCACCTTTACGTCCACCAACGCTCGCTGCAGCAGGTTGGTGGCTCGTAGCATGAGACACGTCTGGCCCTGGTGTTGGCCCACCACTGCCTGGGGGCTGAACTGGATGGCTCCTGCTCGCTTCTGGGGACGGGCAATCTTGGCTACAAATGCACCTGGTGGTTAATAAAATGAAACTTCAATGTAATATGATGAGGAAATGTTTTGGCCTCATTATTGTAAAATGTTTACCTCATGCTGCTTTGCAGTAAATCGTAGCAAACTAAATCAGATGTTATTTTCTTGTTTATTGATCTCCAACTGGGCAGCTGCTCTAAAAATGCACAATTTGGTTGATGACCCAATTTAACATGCTTTTTTCCCCTAAATGATCAGTGTCATCATCAGCACACATTCAAATGGGCCTGAGTGGTATCTAAGGAGGAAGTTTTACATTAATCCAACTTGTTGTTTGCCTTGGATCCTTGGGACCTTCCACATTTATATGACTGTGTTGTTAGATCAAACCTTTCTCCTTTAGATACAGGCATTTTGTCCTGTTGTTTTACAAACTAGGGGTCACCAGATAAATCAGAGGGGTTGGGAAAACTGCAGCTTGGTCAGTGGCCCTCAGCTTCAAAATATGATGCTGTAGGTATCCCTCTCACATTATTTCTGGACTCTTAGGGTTGTGTGGTCAAGTTAGCAAGAATGAATAAGCAATGTCTACAACTTCCGGAGCAGTTACTTTCAAAATTAAAAAAAATGTAATGTAGTGAAACGGTTGCAGTTTGGTTAGGTTTAGGCAAATACAATTTGGTTAGGATTAGGAAAAGATTGTAATTTATATTATGTAACTGATGTAACCTAAGTACCTTCCGTAAATTAACTTACTATGTTTACTTTAGTGTTTCAGAGAGCTAATTGTTTTGTTTACTTGCAGCAGTCTTCTTGGTTAAAGTCCTGTGCTTGTTCAAGTATCCATTCATCCCACCAACTTCTGCACTTTTTATACTGTGTCACCTGACTTTGATGGTGGCCGCTGCCAGAAAGGACTTTACAGGGATACATAGGGTGTCATATTTTGAAGCTTTGGGCCACTGACCAACCTACGGTATTTGATGAGTTCAGAGTGGGTCAAAATGGGTTATCATAGTAGGGGAACAGACTTCCAGCAATTTACATTTCTTGTAGTGGTTTATGAATACATGCAGAACAACTTTAAAGCTGCAGTACGTAACTTTCATATTTGCTGAAACATTAATTATATCCTGACAGTAGTACATGATAAAGACAGATAATCTGTTTAAGTTCCTGATTCCTCTGGCCCCTCCTAGTGCTCCTAATAGCATTTACAAGAATCCACCAGGCCAGAATAGAAACAACCAATCAGAGCCAAAAAGATAGAAAAGACTCTCTGGGTTGGTATCTTGAAGATGAAGAAGTAGTTGATTCAGTCTCATTCCCAGCATCAATCAATTATATTTCTTGGCTCTGATTGGTTGTTGTTGGTTGTTCAGGCCTATTGGTTTCTTGCAAATGCCATAATGAGCACTAGGAGGCTTTTTTTTACACTTTACCCGTCTTATGTACTACTGTCAGCACATAGTCAAAGTTTCAGAAAATATGACAAAAAGTAATTTTTATAAAAGTTACCTACAGCAGCTTTAAATGTATGTGCAACACTTTCTTTTTCTTTCTTTTTTTTCAGGAAAGTGGGACAAAGAGAGGGGATGACACGCAGCAAAGGATTGGAGGTCAGATTCGAACACTGGGCCGCTGCAGCAACTTGGTACATGGTCACCAGCTCTACCAGGTGAGATAACCGGGCACCCTTCACTTTCTTTTTCTAATTTTAATGGGCTATTACGTGAGAAAATGATTTTGTAAAATGAAATACTACTTTCTTTCTTTTTCTACTTGATGTGAACACAGTGGAAAAATCAGCTGTGGTGAGAACAGCCAATCATTCCATGAAAGTGACCTATGCCGAGTGTGTAGTAAACGCTGACCACCTACCTGTAATGAATTTTGAGACATTTCATCATAAACCCTGCATCATTAAACAATGGGAAGTAAAACTGGGGTTAAATCTGTCAGTGCTAGGTTTTTATACTAGGTTGTAGACCTTTGGAGAGCAAGTTTTGTCAAGAAAAACTCTTGGAAAGTGATTTCCTAAAAAGAGTGGGAACCCTAACAATCCTGACATTAACTCCTCATTACCAAGGCTGTAGCCAGTGTTGTAGAAACAATGAGGTCATACTGAGACTGGTTACGTCATGGTCATATCAGAGAAGTTTCAAATAGAATTAAAGCTGCAAGCAGCATTGGGCGGGACCTCGCACTCCACGCAACTCGGGGTGTGCTGTGGCCGCGTCACGTGCCTTCATAATGTGCCGTTGTAACACGTGAGGTCACTGCGAACCGTGGAAATTCAGCGCCACGCCATGGACACGCCGTTTGCCACACAGTTAATATTTGATAAAGTTTTGATAACCAATGTATCTAGATTGCAGTAATTGAATTTGAAGTCAATCCGATAAAATCTGTAGGAAGAGTTAGTTAAAATAGAAGCCCTGAAATGTGGGAAATGGCATCATAGCTAGACATTTGATTAAAATGGCTAACTTTGATGTCACGCTACAGACACGCCCTTCAACGTACAGTCACAAATTGCAAATATTTTAATGAACAAAATTTTTTGACTGTACTGACCAATTTTGAAGCAGATCCGATAAAACATGTAGGAGGAGTTAGTTAAATTAGAAGACCTAAAATGCCAAAAATGGCATCACAGTTTGACATTCGATTCAAAATGGCCAACTTTGACAGTACGCCATGGACACTCCCTTCAATGTATAGTCACAAATAGCACGGCGTTCAGTCAGCAACAATTTTTTGACTGTACTGACCAATTTTGAAGCATATCCGATAAATTCCCTAGTTCGTTCAAATACAAGGCGAAAATTCACCAAAAATGACCACGGAATTCAAAATGGCCAACTTTGACGGCACGCCACGGACACAACCTTCAACGTACAGTCACAATAGCACGGCGTTCAGTCAGCAACATTTTTTTACTGTACTGACCAATTTTGAAGCAGATCCGATAAAACCTGTAGGAGGAGTTAGTTAAAATAGAAGCCATAAATTGCCAAAAATGGCATCACTGTTTGACATTCGATTCAAAATGGCCAACTTTGACAGCACGCCACGGTGTTCAGTCAGCAACATTTTTTGACTGTACTGACCAATTTTGAAGCAGATCCAATAAATTCCCTAGGAGGAGTTTGTTCAAATACAAAGCAGAAAAGTGAAAATGACAAACAAAATGGCCGCCGAGAATGAAAATGAAAATCAAAATAGCCGACTTCCTGTGGGTTTTGGGGCATGGGTCCAGGCGGCTCTTCTGTAGGTCTTGGCACGTTACACGTGCCTACCGAGTTTCATACATATTGGTGAATCGTGGCGCCAGGGCTGCTTTGTAGAAATACTGTAGGGGGCGCTACAAACATGACAAACACGATTTTTGGTATGTGAGCTACAGGCACCAGTCTACATGTGCCATGTGAATTTGATATTCATAACTATTACGGTCTCCGCAGAGTGATTTACCATGCCACCAGAGCGCCACCTCGTGGTGGATTGTTGACACATTTTTTAGCCAGCCTCATGGAGCTATTGGCAAGCAGTTTCGTTTTAATCATACGTGCCATAAACTTCTTCATTATAAAGAGGGCCACCTTGTGGCGATCACCTGAAATTGTACATGATGTCTAAGGAAGACATGTGGAACTATGGACCCAAGTTTGGTGTCAATTGGATATACCACTGTGGAGAAATGCTCCACTTCCTGTTTTGACCATAATCTACAGAAAGTGCTAATTATATAATGTGCTTATTTTTTGAAATATCAAAATACTTTAAATTACTTTTTTTGTCAGGACAGATGCTACATGACAAGTTTCGTGCGAATCGGACAAAAGTGCATGAATGGAACACGAAAACGTAGTACATTGTACAGTTTGCACTCTAGCGAAAAGAAAATCTAGGTGAAAGTGGGCGTGGCCTATATAGGGAGATGCAGCTCCATCTCTTCTATCTTCTGTAACAGTCTCACCTTGAACATACTCCGACAGCATGTGACGCGCCCACAGCACACCCTGACACGTGCTGCGTGCAAGGGCCCGTTCATCGCTGCTTGCAGCTTTAATTAAACTTGTAACTGAGCCCTGTGATCTCACAGCTAACGACTATATTTAGTGTTATGAGAACACCACAGAATGTTTCTGTTAGAGGTACAAACACAAAATCTGCTGTGAAATATCAATTTAAACATTTCAATGGATATGTGCTTAGCTCAGCTAGTACTTTAAGTGTTGTAAATGTAATTAGAAAATCCCACTGTGGACATTAATGAGTTTTTTATGATTTTGTCTTCAGCAATAGGAGAGTTGTACCTGTTATGAATGCTTCCAGCATGAGCCCCAACAGCATCTGTACAGCCAGCAGTGCTATCGCACTCGGACAGTCCCCACTGGGGAACATGGTGCCATAGCCGATGGTCAGCTGTGTCTCCAGGGAGAAGGAAAAGGCAGCAGTGAAGCTGGTAATGTGTTTCACACAAACCACATGCCCCTGTGGGGGGGCATCATGATCCTGCACCGCTAGGTCTCCATTTAGGTGGGCCAGCAGGTACCACAGGCAGGCAAACAGCAGCCAATGGGCCAGAAAAGAGGCGCAGAAGGCCAGCAGGACCCATCTCCAGCGCAGGCCCACCAACAGTCCCCACAGGTCCTGCAGGGCCAGCAGCCAGGCTCTGCCCGTGGCCCCGCGCCATGAGCCTGAAGGGCACAGAGGTGGACGAAGGGCACAGTGTCCGTCTTTGGTGACCAGGCGCTGGCGGGGTGGAGAGGACAAGAGAGGAGAGGAGGAGGCCTTCCCACCCAGAACACTACTGTTGGATTTGGTTGTCATGGTTGCAGGTTGGTCTTATGCAGGGTAAGTTAAAGTGAGGAGGATCCTGAAAGCAAATGATAAAAGACACCCATGGGTATTTATTAGGATTGTAAGAAGGTTTGAGGCATTAAATCAGTCATCACAATGTGAGTTTCATCTCTGTGTCCAGTACAGAGGTATAAGGTCATGATCTAACACAGAGACTGAAAGCAGGGGGTTCTCCTAGTAGTGCTAAAAGTGACTTATTTAAATGTTTTACTGTATCTTGTTAGCAAGTTAGCTCACTGTTAGGGAGCTTAGAGCTCGAACCTTGCAATGAGGACGACTATTTAGATTATCTGAGTAGTAAGTGTGTTCAGCAAATATGACAACATTAATTGTCATATTTGTTAAAACTTTCATAGTTTCCTGACAGTAGTACATGTGTGACAGCTCCTTGCCGGGCTGTGACACATGAGACAGATAATCTGTGAAAAAAATCAGGTTCCTCTGGCTCCTCCTAGTGCTCCTAATGACATTTGCAAGAATCCACCGGGCCTGAATGAAAACAACCAATCAGAGCCGAGAAAGATAGTTGATTGTTGAATTAATTCCCAGGGGGTCAAATACAGACACTGAGACTCGAGAGCATGAGACTCAACAATCAACTATCTTCATCGACTGATGTTGTTTTTGTTCAGGCCTGGTGGATTCTTGCAAATACCATACTTTGTGTGACAGGTGACTGTCTGTTGTCTCTCTGCTGGTCTATGGTTACAAACACACCTTTTCCTCATGCTCATCAGTGTGATTGGCTGTGTCGTGTTCTTTTTTTGAGAAAGGACATTAAAGCAAGCGTTGTCCTCAACTTCTTTTATTTGAGAGAATAAGTAAATAACACAGCTGTGTGTCTGGTCTGCTTCACTCGAAAGCTCCGCTGGATCAGGGGCCCGGAGCACAGTCTGCTCCCTCTTTTTATAGGTGTGTTATTCTAGGTGTCATCCTTTCTGATTGGTACATGAATCACTACTCCCACCTTGTTTTGGGCAGAGGCAGTTTCTCTGTAAATAATTATTTAAAGACCTATGATGCACTGTGTACTATCATAGAGTAAACACAAAAACAGATCACTTCCCAGGCTTGAGGTACAACTCGGAGTTGGATCCAAGGGCAAAAGGTGCGCTTGCTTACAGTGTGTGCACCATTAGTTATTGTGTATGTTTATATCAGGGAGAACAGAAATCCTGTTCATCATAGGGAGGAATGATGACATGGAATGACAGGATTGCACAGATGTGTGCAACTATATGTCACATAATGTAATGAGATGATTTCAACATTTGTATACAACTGAGAAGTAACAGCAATTATTCACTTTAGTTTAACATTTTAAGAAATATTATGTAGATAGTGTCATTGCCCTAAAAACAACAGTCACTCAACTGGCCGTTGATTTAAATTGTGGAGATATGTAAAATCTGCAAATTAGTTTATTTCTGTTGTCATTTCAAGCCTTAACTGTAATGTTTAAAGAGACATAGTTAAGTGCAGTGGTCTGACCATCTGACGTTACTGATGTGCTTATTTTATGTACTGTGTTGCTTTGCTACTGGTTTTAATAAATGAAAGACATCTTACTGTGGGCCAAACCATGATACAGTCCGAGTTGTGTCCTTGCTTACTTTACAGTATATACCTAGCTTCGATGTCTCTTCCTGGCAGTCTATGCTGCAAAATAGTGATACCAAGAAGCTTTCTTTGGTTTGTGTCTGTTGGTTTGTGAGAGAGCGAGCAAGACAGTGGTTGTAAAGAGACAGAGGAAAGAAGAGAGGGAGCGCCGGTAGAGAGAAAGCCAGTTAATCAGAGAAATAAAACATTATTTTCGGATTGTTTCACAGCAGATACATCCTAAACACAAATAAACACACCCCCCCATCTTATTTCCCACAATATAGAACTGTTCCTTTAAATTCCAAGGTTAAAATGTATCTACATAATCACCATGTAACTAATTTAAACAGGACATATGTGTGTAGAAGAACTCTGAGTAACAGATGTATGTGAAGGCAGTCCTGACAGGCAGACAGCTAGAGTCCTGTTCTCGTCAGAGTTTCTATTTCTATGTCAATATTGTTGCCAGGAGATTAGAGCAGGTCCCAGCTGGGAATCTGTCTGAGGAACACAGCAACATGCAGAGTAGGAATGCGTCTTTCATCTGCAGGGAGCTTTAAACTTACTGCACTGCATGGCTCTCTACTCATCTTGTTCGCCAATTGCAATATACATTCACCATCATTTTGTGCATGCATTTTGGATGTACTTGCAACTTCTTTTGATGCATTTGCTGTGAACGTTGCATATCTTTCAAATACAAAACGCAGGGAGAGTGAAGGATTTTAAGTTTGAACAAAACCATGAATTCAGTGCGATGGCATGAAGAGACACACTAAGAACAAAAAATTTTGATATATTCAAATACCTATTTTTCTAAAGTTTCTACCAGTTTAAAACATGAAATTGAAAACATTACTTTGTTTAGATCTTAGTGACTAAAAACTAAAATAGTCCTTAGTCAGTTCAGTATTTAACTGACCAGACTACATTCTATGTCCGTCTGTGCCATCTGAGGACTTACGTGGGACATAAGCTGCAGTAACTAATGAGGCGAGTGTCGGGTGAGTGTGTGGTTGATTTTGGTAAGTTTGTCTTTGTGCTGAGGCTGGGGGAAACAGCAGCCTGATTACAGTCAGCAAGGTCGTCACATGAGGGCCATGTGCTGGCTGAGGTTCATTGTTCTGGATCTTAATCTGTCAGAGCTGTGGATCAGTCAGTCACCACATAGAGCATGAGCACATGCAAACAGACTCTTTGTGCAATCCTTCCTGTGTTTGTGAGAAGACAACATCAATATTAATCTCATATCTGTGTAGTACAGAGCTTGATTTAGTTAGCCTATCTTAGCATAAAGACTGGAAGCAGGACAAAACCTGGTTCTGTCCAGAGTTCATCAACATCTCTAAAGTACACTAATTAACTTGTTGTCACGGTTTTTATTCTGTATATAAACAGAAATACCACCTTTTTACCTCACTGTGACAACAAGACTTCAGGAAGCTACACACAGTCGATAGCCGCACATTTTATTTATTCAAGTAATTCAGCAATTCAGCACCATCCACTACCTTTATGTGGTTATTAGGAGTTGGTTCACAAGTTAAGCAGTAGGTGGCAGCAATCCCAGTTGGAAATCCAAAAGAAAAGGGTTTTACAAGATGACTAATTATGAGAACACCAGTGGAAGCTCAAACTGTTAAAAACAATGCCAAAAACAGGATGGAAATGTTTTTCTCATGTATTAAAGGATCAGTATGTATGTATGATTTAGTGACATCTAGAGGTGTAGTTGCATGTTGCAACTCACTCGATGTGCCCTCTCCTTCCAAGCATGACAGAGAATCTACGGTATCCTTGAAACATTCGAAAAACATGAACGGCCCTAACTAGAGACAGTGTTTGGACTGTGCATTCTGAAACATATCAGCTAAATGTTACGTCAGAACTTATTTGGGAAAAGTGTTTTCATCTCGCATTTAGGGCATCAACTCTTTTTCCAAAAAGGCAAAACCACTTCAAGTGAGCTTGAAAGTTTTTTTGATTTTTGTCAAACTTTTCTTATGTGATACTTCAAGCAAGAGATAAGAGATAAGAGGTTTTATTTGTCACATGCACAGTTATACATAGTATAATAATTCAAATAATTCAAATTAAACTGATTATATAGATAAATCATTACGTACACCATTATAATGAGTGAGCTTTAGAGGTGTTGGACACTGATGGTCTCCTTAAAACTGTACATTACTGAATGCATTTGTTGAATACATAGGATGATTACCTGGGTTATGTTCACTGGCAACATTTTTTCCAGTTTTCAATTTTCAGCACAAAAGTTGTAGAAAGTTGATAGAAGCACATGACTTTGAGACTAGAAATGATAGGGAGGGTGTGTGTTCAGTGTCCCACATGTAGCTAGTCTGAAAAAACATTCTGGTTAGGGAAAGATGGTGGTTCTGGTGAAAAATTAATGCTGATGTGGGGGCCAAGCTAATCTCTAACATGGGTTTCCATACATATCTTTTCCTCAAGTTACTGTTTTTCATTATTTAACCAAGAACACCATCTTTCAATAACCTTAACTAAAGAGAGATTGTGAAACAAATGAAATGTATTGTCAGTGATAAACAATGTATTTAGAATTATAGATATAAATAAAAATATAGTAACATTGCAGATAGTAATGTTGTTCTAAATATGATTGCAATTTCTTTTCCAGCGTTCAGTCTAATGTATGGCCACTTTGGCCGATGCCCAGGATGATGCTCGCTTATGCCTACAAAGTGCGAGCAACAGCACACTGACTGCAGTTCACTTAACGGCCACTTAACTGTCACTTTTAACAACGATTTCCTGATAGTTACATATATAACCTTTAAAATTGTAAAGATGTTCATTAATTGTTCTAATGTAATTTGAAACCAGAGTCAACTCAATACATTTCTGTTCTGTCGAGGAGTAGTTAGCACATATGTGTACATTTTCATTACTTTAGAACATTATAGCAGTCAGTTGCTTTTACAAACTAATGACATTATGACATTGACGGTCTTCTTAAAACTGTGCATTACGAATGTATTTGCTGAGTACATTTGGGATTAAACTTAACTGCTGCCTGGGTTATGTTCACTTGCAAACTTTTTTCAGTTTAAGAAGTTTTTTTTGTTTTCGGCACAGAAGTTGTAGGAAGTTGATAGAAGCACATGACTCTGAGACTACAGACTATAGAGAGGGTTTGTGTTTAGTGTCCCACGTGTAGTTAGTCTACAAAAACATTCTGGTTAGGGAAAGATGGTGGTTTTGGTGAAAAATGAATGCCGATGTGGGGGCTTTGCGTGTCTATAACATGGGTTTCTTTACATATCTTTTTCCTCAAGTGACTGTTTTTCAATATTCAACCAAGAACACTTGAGAAAGAATGTTGTTCCCTACAAAGCAAAGAAGCTAATGCAAATAAGTAGTTTATAAACTGAATTTCTAGGATAGATCAGACTGCAGTGTGTGTTATTTAGCCTTAACCTTAAAAAACAGACACTATAACACTATTCATACATTCCAGCTGTAATAATTGTATACACACTAGATGCATGTCACTGAATTTCTCACTGACAATAACAGAAAAGTAAATTTTTAGTATTGTACTTAAATATAAGTCTTGATCATGGGATTTTTGTTTCTCTTTGTTTACAAATGCATATTTTTGATATGTTTGATTGATTTTGGAATTTTAAGTATTATTCCATGAAGGTAATGAACTTGTAATGTAATGACATCAAATGTTTTTTCCTCCCTGAACTGTTTAGATGTGTGGCGATGCAAACAAGCAGCACTTTGTGTAACTGCTCCAAGGAGTGTGAGGTCCCTGAGGCCGGTGGGATATTTAGACTTACTGTAAGTCATCTCATAATGACAGCAGTGCGTGACAGCGTCTAGTCAGCCATTTTCCTGTGTCTAAGCAATCTGTGCTAATGTACGAGTTAAGAGAGCAAGTTTTTGGGAATGTGTCTTTATCACCAGCTTGGAGGGGTGCAGAAGGGTTTATGTAAAGTTCAGTCTGCAGCTGTTCACTTCTTCTATTATCTGTTAACACATAATATACATGTCTAAAATAGAAAAACTAATCTGTTTGATCATCTGTATCATTATAGTGATAAAAATGGACATGTTGTTGGCTTGACTTTCAGATGCCCTTGTGTCCACACTACAACCTGGATCAGTTTACCACACTGGATTGTAGAAATGGTTTCAGCTAAAGAAAAACAGTTAGGAAACAATTTATTTTCTGCGGTTTTTATAATTAACAAAGTGTATAAAGTTCACATAATGTGATCAGACAGATCCCGTTTCCTATTATGGATTCAACAAGCCAGGCTCCTTAACAAATGACCAATACTGATCAGATCACAGTAGAATCACTCATTGTCCTTGTATCAGGGCCTTTGCTCTACCAAGCATCACACGCTGGAGTTTGTACTCACCTAGAGCTGCAGTCAGGGCTAAACAGGGGCCCTCTGACCTTTTCACCTAAGAGCTGGTCTGAGCTCTGCCAAATGGGCAAAGGGGCCGAGGCAAATGGAAAGAGTGCCACTAGTTCCTTGAAGGACACAGGGTGTAAAATCCCAGAGGAGTCCCGAGCAGAAACTGATAGTGTCACCACAGAGAGCTTTTCTCAGTGTGGGAGCCGGACTGAGCGCGGCGCTCTCTGCTCCTCCGATCTGAAGCTCTCCAGCTCCGGGGCGAGGATGATTCAATTGGTCACATTACTCTGCATGGAGCCTATTAGTGTTCCCGGAAGACAGAAGACAGAGGGAGGGGGGAGAAGAACAACACCTTGTCACAGTTCATTCAAAGAGCTGCTTGTTGCTGGTTGGTGTCCCGCAGCTGCTGCTGTGAGAAATTGGGTTTGCTGATAGGGTGTTGCATTTGTGTGTGTAAGAGTGTGAATACATGCATGTATTTCCCTGCGTCCACATGTTTAGTCCCCATCTTTTCTTTTTTGTATTCCTGTGTTTTCATGTCATATCAAATAATAACCCTTATTGAGAGAAATGTAATCATCATTTCATTACACACAAGTTCAGGCTTTGGAAATGTTTCCATCTCTACTGGAATTTCATATAAACTTCTGTGAGTTTGAACTATACCTTGCTGATGGTTCTGTCTGCTGGTACCGGTTTTAATTTTCACACCAACTTTATTCATTAACAACTGACCCATGACTCCATCACTGTGTGGCTACAGAATAGATAACATATTAATCCAAGAGTCACACTGGCAGGTGACAGGTAGTAACTTTGCAGGACCTGAAGCAGGATTGAAAAAAATCTGTGGGGATAATCATGTTTCTGAAGGATAATTTTAAATTTCTTTTTGTAGTTCCTATGAGTAATAATAACACTTAGTCATGTTTTTTCATTCACGTTACGTATTTCTTAAAATTTTTCTTTCTTTCTTTCTTTCTTTCTTTTGTTCGGTCTTTACTATGTGTGTTCTTTGGGGTCACCGTGTTCTGTTGTACTGGCTTTATGTGAAAGCTTAAAAAAAATAAAAATGTTAAAGAAAAGAAGTCTGACCTCTGGTTAGACAAACTGTTCATTGGACATGACTTCTACTGTCCACACATAGCCGGCTGAATATGAAAATGCTGTTTGAAACTGATCCGTCCACACTCGCACACTTTGTTTTTGTTTTGATTTAATTCAATTCAATTCAATTCAATTCAATTCAATTCAATTCAATTTTATTTGTATAGCGCCAATTCATAACAGAAGTTATCTCAGGACACTTTTCAAATGGAGCAGGTCTAGACCGAACTCCTTATAACATTTACAGAGACCCAACAGTACCACCATGAGCAAGCGCTTGGCGACGGGGGCAAGGAAAAACTGCCTGTTAAGAGGCAGAAACCTAGGACAGACCCTTCGGTTCTAAGTAGGTGGTCGTCTGCCTCAACCAGTTGGGGTGAGAGAGAGAGAGAGAGAGAGAGAGAGACAGAGACAGAGACAGAGACAGACAGACAGTTGCACAGCAACAACAGTAGCAACAACTACACTAATAGTAGTGACTGATGATGATGAACATGAAGAAGATGATGACAACAGCAACGATGGGGGACAATGAGCAGTTACAATAGTAATAATAGTAACTGTAGTTATAATAATAATGATAATAATAATAATAATAATAATAATAATAATAATAACAATAATATCATTGATATTAGCAATGGCAGTCAAGCAGGACCATGGCAGGAGGCACCACCAGGATCCATGAGAACCTGCGAGACGAGAAAGCACAAGAACTCCGGGGAAGACGTGAAGTTAGTAACATGCATTAGTGGGACATGAGTGCAGAAAGAGAGAGAGAGAGGAAGAGAGGAGCTCAGTGCACCATGGGAAATCCCCCGATAGTCTAGGCCTATAGCAGCATAACTAAGGGATGGTTCAGGACTCACCTGATCCAGCCCTAAGTATAAACTTTATCAAAGAGGAACGTCTTAAGCCTACTCTTGAATGTGGAGAGGGTGTCTGCCTCCCGAACCACAACTGGAAGCTGGTTCCACAGGAGAGGAGCTTGGTAACTGAAGGCTCTGGCTCCTGTTCTACTTTTAGAGACTACCACAAGTAGCCCTGCATTCAGAGAACACAGTGTTCTAGTGGGGTAATAGGGTGCTATGAGTTTTTTAAGATATGAAGGAGCATCGGTGTGTGAATGAGTATGAATGTTAGTTTCTGTTCAATGGACTTTGCCATCACTGAGTGAATGTGTGTGAAAGGCTTTAGACAGTGAGTCTCTAAGGTTTTTGGGGCCAAGTACAAGAATTTCGATTTTTTTCTGAGTTTAACATCAGAAAATTGCAGCTCATCCAATAGACATGTTTGTAATTTAGATAATTGATTAATATCATTGGGCTTGATCGATAGATATAACTGTGTATCATCTGCATAGCAATTAAAGTTAATGGAGTGTTTCCTAATAATGTTGCCTAAAGGGATCATATATAAAGTAAATAGTATTGGTCCAAGTACAGAACCTTGTGGAACTCCATGACTAACTGTAGTATTTATTGAAGATTCATCGTTAACATGTACAAACTGCGAACGATCTGATAAGTATGACTTAAACCAGCTTAGTGCGGTTCCTTTAATGCCAATTTGATGCTCAAGTCTCTGTAAAAGAATATTATGGTCAATGGTGTCAAATGCAGCACTAAGATCTAATAATACAAGTACAGAGACAAGTCCATTGTCAGAAGCAGTCAGAAGGTCATTATTAACTTTAACCAGAGCTGTCTCTGTGCTGTGATGAACTCTAAATCCTGACTGAAAATTGTCAAATAAACTATTGTTATATAGAAAGTCACACAACTCTTTGGCGACTACTGTCTCCAGAATCTTAGAGAGGAAGGGGGGGTTAGAGTTAAGTCTATAGTTGGCTAAAACCCCTGGGTCAAGAGTGGGCTTTTTAAGAAGGGGTTTAATAACAGCTACTTTAAAGGACTGTGGTACATATCCTGACAATAAAGAAAGAGTGATCATATCCAGTCAAGAAGTGCCAATTAAGGGTACGACGTCTTTAAGCAGCCTAGTTGGGATCGGGTCTAATAGACAGGTTGATGGCTTCGATGAAGAAATTAAGTTAACTGATTAAGATTGATAGCAGAAAAACATTCTAAATATATATCTGAGTTTACATTAGTTAAAGTTCCTAAACTTGGAGAGCCAGTGATACCTGTTGAGGGCATTTGGTGACTAATTTTCTCTCTAATAGTAATAATTTTATTATAGAAGAAGCTCATAAAGTCGTTGCTACTTAAGTTTATGGGGAGTCAGCTGTCAGCCTGGTTACAGTGCTGAAAAGGAACCTAGGGTTGTTCTTATTTTCTTCTATTAGTGCTGAATAATAGGCTCCTCTGGCATTATGGAGGGCCTTTCTATGAGTTTTAAGATTATCTTGCCAAATTGAGCGATGTTCTAATAATTTTGAAGAGCGCCATATCCTTTCTGATTTCATTGTTTTTTGCTTCAATTGGCGGGTTTGGTGGTTGTACCACGGTGCTAATCTCCTATGTTTTAATGATTTCCTTTTTATAGGAGCGATAGTCTAATGTTGATCGTAGTGAGCCTGCAGCACTATTAACAAGGTTATCAATTTCGGAGGGACTAAAGTTATTATAGGACTCTGTTATATTCAGACATGGCATTGAAATAAACACTGATGGAATCTCCTCCTTAAATTTAGCTGCTGTAGGAAGTTTTGCCTAATGGCTTATAATCTAATAATAGAAATTCAAAAGTTATTAAATAATGGTTAGATAGAAAAGGATTATGTTGGAAGACTATTAAATGTTCAATATCAATGCCATAGATGTCTGTCCACACTGATGACTAAAACGTGCTTTCTTCCAGGTTGTCAAATACCAACATCCTTTTGTCATGCTTGTCGGCCTCTCATGCAAACCACAGGTGAAAATCCTGTGTTTGTTTGACCCATCCATCCACCCCACTCCTTATGCAGACTTTCTTGCTCTTTATACTACCTCATCTGACGCAGATGGGTTATGTTGAAGTTAGTTGACAGCCAACTGCGTCTCAAACAGAGGCATTAATGGAGACGCCAAGGGGCATGACATAATGGAACTGGATGCTCTGGAATGAGAACAGGGAGGCAAAGCATAAACAACAGAAAAACTGTTAAATATTTTGATCTTCCTCTTCCTCCTCTTTCAGTTGGCAAACAACAAATAACATGGAGTGATAGGGCTTAGAGGACAGATAAGATCTTGTTACTCAGCTCCCTCTGTTCAGTACCCTACAACCCTCTGTGATCACCTTGGGGTATGTCTGTGCAAACCCTTCATCACAGGTTAGTTAATGATGTCACTGAGTAAAAGACGTGTGCATTGTGCCATTTGATCAAAGAGAATAAGAAAGAGTTATAGTGATGGTGTAACTCAAGTTTTTACTGTGAAAAACACCTGCCACGGTCCACTTAAAAGACAACCAGGGTATTTAAAGCTCAATAATCCACTTAAATTTAGCTGACCTACCTTCTAATAATGAACCTTATAAACGGCAGCAAGTAATGTAGAAAGTAAAACAACCTGTTTTTGACTTATCTGGCACGTAGCAAAAGCACGCTTAATAAGCACAAAAAGCTATAGAGACAGCGGTTCTGCTTCACTGCTGTGGTGTGATTAGTTTATAGTAACGTTGCATTGGACAGACGACCAAAACAGGAAAACAAAGCGTCTTAATGACAGGAAAAGTGACAGATGAAGGTAGTTGTATATATTAGGTTCATCCAATTTAATGGAGGCAGACTAAAATCATCATCAACTATTTACAGCGACAACTCGACACTGACTTCAATTGTTGATCGGCAACGTTGCTTGGACTGATTAACAACAGGATTTGGCCCCCTATTACCTAAAGAGTAATACATTATTCTTATTTTATGCTATTAAATTGACAAAGACCTCAGAATTTGAAGTTACTGCCGGTCAAATTGGAGGGGCATGAGAGAGGGGCATGACGCAAAGGCAAAGTACCTGGACGGGCTGTTCTCATCTATGGATATACTATATATATAATATATAATATAATAATTTTGTGCACATGGTTTTTCTTCATAGACACAGAAGCGTCATATTAGGGAGGTCAAGATCCGCTAGTTAACAATACTAAGAGACGCAGACTTAACTACAAAGATCTGCCCCCAGTGACTTGTAATTCCTAC